ATTAGCTTAAAGCATAAAATATTTCTTAAAAGCGCATGCATTTTCTACACAAATATTCAGGGCTAACAGCGGTTTACATGTGAAGGAGATTTCGATGTTGGTGGCTCACATCATCCAAAAAGGAAATCGAAGCAGGTACGTTATGCCGGGGCCTTTTTATCTTCCAGAAATGGAATGGAGTTTGTTTTGCAGGGCAAATTCATTTATCTATTCATTTTATATTAGATCAATAAACATGTTACCAAGAGCAAGGGAGGTGTCCACAAAAAGAAATCTTGTAAATCACATTAAAATTAAAGAACAACCCATGATGGCTGTATTCCGGATAAGCTACGACAGTATTTATTATAACGTCAATAAGTATAGTAATTTATACCATTTCATAGTATATCATGAAGTTAACAACAATGGTTGGTTCTAAACCGTACCACAGAGAACAGACATGGAGGCTCGAACAAAATTTCTCTGAAAACTTGTGTAAAGATTCCTATTCGACTTAAGCACCACTAACGGCGACTTCCCCACTTAAAAACCCTCTTTGACAACATGATGGCGCTGGCGTTGCACAAATTACACTAGACACTAAGTGCTAGTAGCGCCAAGTGGCAATTTTCAACAGAAAATTTATCGATACTAGCGCCAAATTGGTCGAAAGTGGAAAATTATAGAGAGAAAATCAGGAGATGCTAACACCACGTAACGGCGACGTTCCCACTTATTTTACACAAGTTTCTGACCGAGCTTCAACGTCTGTTCTCTGTGACCGTACTACCTTATTCGAAAGTTAATGGAAATAGTTTCACATATCCAACTAGAACCTTTTCTGATGTGGTAAGGCTATAGTTGTTTTGCTAAAAATGTATGAGAAAAAGCGAGATTTCGTATGGTGAACGTTCTTAACCACCCATTGTTCATATGGTTGGGTCTTCGAAAACCTTAATCAATATGGTCAAAACTTTATCTAGGTATGGTTTGATTAAAGTTGACTGAACCTTTCTCATTATGGTTTTCAGAGGAAGATAAACCATTTTTAATGTGGTAATCGTATGGTTGTGATTTATGCGGGGAGGCAATAAATTATTATGATTTCCTTGCAACCTATCTCAAGGTGCGCCAACACTGATAAAATTTCAAAGATTGTTTTTATGTGTCCTTCACATGAATTTTTGCAATGTGATCAACAAATGATATTTATGTGTCGGACACATACTTAATATGTGTACACATAAAAGCCACGTGTAACCACACATACCATTCATTTGACTCATAAATTTCATGTGTGCTTCTGGGTGGATTCTGTTTATGTGTGGTCACATGAAAATCATGTGGAATTTCACATGGAAATTCGTCAAAAAAAAATGTGTTGAATTTTATTAGTGAACGTTTAGGCACAGACAAACAGACGTAACTCTTTGAAAAAGTTTTTCTTGAAAACATAGTATTTCAAAACATATGACCTCAGTAACGATATCTCTTGGGCTTCTCGCGGGAAACAAGCTTGCTCGCTAGCTCGCAAACAATATTGCATAAAAGTTGTATAGAATGTATAGAAACGTCACAGACAAACAGACATAACACTCGCAACTTGTTCATCGAACAAGCATTTAACGGACAATTTAAAAGTATCGTAGTTGGTAGTACCGCTACCTGTGGCGCGCATAGTCAATTCCCTTGCGTTTGACGTTTACACACTACCGCCATCTATTCAGTGTAGTGCCCACTACAGTGAACTCAACAGATGGCGGTAATGTTTTAGCGACGATGTTTTACAGTGAGAAATATTTAATGTGTTATGTCTGTTTGTCTGTGGAAACGTCATAGTGATCCGAGGCCAGCGCTGCGGTGAGTAGTTCGCGGAACTGATAATATTCAAATCAACCGTTAAATGCATGAACGAAGATACACAATGAAGAGTTACGTCTGTTTGTCTGTGGTTTAGGTTTTGTCTTATTATTATTATGACTTGGACATTGCTGTTCACTTCTGGCCGAGAACTATTTTTAAGGCTGTGAACCATTTGCCGAGTTAAATTTAACTCGTGGTTAAAAGTGACATTTCGAAAGTTATTTTCTATGTTCGAAAATCCCCGTGCTGTCGATCGACCGGTTTTCGAGCCACGGTTGTCAAACTTTAACTTCTTGTCTGTCATAAATAACCATGCTCGGATAGCAGGGTTAATCGATAACTTTTCATCTGTCAAATTTTAACCAAAAGTTAAAATAATCCACCAAATGGTTCAGAGCCTAAGTAAAAGAACTTTGAATAAACAAGACAGTCAGTGATGGTGATGAACACTCAAGCGGTGTGTACTATATCGATGACCAATCCATTTCTGTTACACGATCGTTATACAATCAGCAAATAGTTGCAATACGATGAGTAGCTGCATTTATGAATTTTGCTATCTGTTTCCTTTTTTGTTCCTGATCAACTCTGCGATGACGGCCTCGACTTGACTGATCCAAGGGCAACTCCGTGCCATAGGACGAGATTATTTTTTATACTGAAGACCATATTATTAATATTATTAATCGGAGTTTATTTTTAGAATTGTTCTGATATTGTTTCTTGTATTTCGAAAAAATATGGGGTTTTTATACCTATTTGCGCAAATATTAGCCAAATAGGCTTTTCCCCAGCAATCTTCATTTAGACAACAAAAGCAAGATGAAGAGAATAATAAATAAATAAATAAATCATAAAATAGGGGAAACTTTCCCCTAGCCAATTATTGTGTTGTTTTGCTTTGGTGATCTTTGAATCGCGAGAAAAGTGTGTCCGCAATTTCGTTCGCAAAACCTGATATGATCTTTTCTGTTGCTGGTCGTGATATGTTCGTTTGATTCCGCTATTTTACAGGTCAATCGGTTCCCGAAATTCTCTCCACCAGCGACTGTAGCAACACTGTAGTGTTGACCCGTGGCTATAGAAATTAGTGACGTTGACCGTGCGCACACTAGTGGGTGCATCACCGTGTCAAGTTGTTTATTATTTTCCTCTGGCTAACCTAAAAAATGAATGAAATTAGTTCTGTCAAAATGAGTTTGACAGCGATTTGTTATGTTCTCCTCGGATTTTTACCTTAGAGAAGAGGTGACAATACGGGGGCGAAAATGAACCACTTTTCTGTCAAACGTGAACCAGCTCCTGATTGGCCGATTTCATGTGCGCAAGATAGAGATAGAGATAGATAAAGATAGAGATAGAGATAGAAATAACCCAAGAGAAGAGGTGACAATACGGGGGCGAAAAAAAACCACTTTTCTGTCAAACGTGAACCAGCTCCTGATTCACTGAGCGAATTTACCATGTCGTCATTGCATGATTAATCATTCAGAGCTATACGATTTCTTTAACATCGAAAATAATATGAGATACCCGATTGACTGATAATTGACATTAAATGGGATGATTCATCATACATATCATAAAAGAAAATAACATCAACCACTTAATGAAGTACCGTTCAAATTTTGAAAGGTATTAACAAAAAAAGAATTCAAGAACAGAAATGAAGTAAAATCATCCAAGTTAGCCCCATGACGAAAATCATGCAACAACTGTCATGCGATTCATTTTCATATCGTTCCAGTTTCCCATTGCAATGCGTTTGCGTTTTGGCTTCGCCATTTTATATTCGCAGCTTGGATGAACGCGCACTGAGCAAAGGGGCATCATTGGTGGCTCCCATCGAAAAATTGGTGAAAATTAGTGAAAAACTGTCGCAAAGTGGTGCAAAATTACTGACGAAAGCCGCGAGAAGCCGAGTGTGACCGCAGAAAAGGTGCGTTTCCGATCGGGGAAGGATTGTGCGAAAGATTCTTTCGGGCTGCTGCTGCCGCAGTGCTAGCCTTTCTTCGCTGTTTTTTGGCTGGTTATTTTTTTTTTCCTATCCGTGAGCTTCCGAGAGTGTGCGTGGGGTTTTGTCCGACGGACGGACGGAACAAGATAAAACAGCAGCTAGAAGCTAACAAGCAATTCCGATCGCCTGCCTTGATGCTGCTGCTGGATTGTTGTCCGGTGCAAGGTGTGGTGCGGGTTTTTTTTCTGTCGGAAAGGAACTGTTGTAGGACGAGAGACCACCGAAGAATTCGGAATAACACTATCCGGCGGACCAACCAGGAAGAAAAGTTATGTATCGCAGAAAAATATATCAAATAAATGAATAACACTATTGTTCAACTTGTAAAACAAAAGCGTTTCATTGACAGCATTAATTTACTGTTCCAACGATTTAGAACAGATATATTTTGTTATGATCACAATTTTTAAACTGTAAAATAAGCTTTCTTCTTTTATATATTTTTCATTCAGATTGCACTTATATTTCATTTGAACATTGCATGACAATTTATTTTGAAACTGTATGACGAGTCCGTATCATTCTCAATGTTAATCATACCGTTTGTTCATTGCAAGTCTTCCTAAGAATGGATGATAATCATGCTGATTTAGAACTGATGGTGTACAGTGTGCAGAATGAAAATCATCCTGTTGCAGAATTGATGCTATTCAGTTCTTCTGTGCTTTGAAAGCTGAATCAGAGAATGATAATCTTTCTCAAATAGAAAAATAATCCGTATGGGGCTCAAGTGAAGCAATAATCATACATTCATGTGTGGACAATTTGGTTCAGTGTTGGCCGATTTCATGTGCGTTAGATAGAGATAGAGATAGAAATAAAAGAGGAAGAAGCCAATTGTCACCTCTTCCTCTTAGGAAATAACGCACAGAACTAGATTAAAATCGAATGTCGCGAGTGGGGTTTTCCGGTGTCCAACTTGACCGACAACAGGTCGTATGAATAAAAGCGTTTACTTTACTTTTCCCGTAAGAAAAGCACGGGAAAGTAAACTCTTTTTATTCATACGGCCCAATATATCCGGCAACTCTGGTCAACGGGCGAATCTTTTTAGCACGTCAAAAAAACCGGGCGAAAAGTTATCTCGCTTTTTCTCCCTCCCTCCCTTTCTCCCTCTTTCGCACGCAAGCGATATCAAACGCGAAAAGGGAAGCAAGCGAAGTTGACATTTTCTAGACAAACAAATCGATATTAAAGTTACTACCAAGGAGGAGAAAAGTCTTTAACGCAATTTTGTATTTATTTTTAACTTATATAGTATTAAAAATTATATATAGTTACAAATTTACAAGTTAACAACATTAGCAAAAGGGCAGATAATCCTACAACATGAACAACAAAGCAAATAATGGTAAGTGGTACTCGCAAAGCGTTTTTCGCGATGGTGGCTAACGCGAAGCGAACATTGATACAGCCGAAAAGAAAAAACATGACATGATTATCACAAGGTTCTTAGAAAATATGTTTCAAGTATATATTCAACTTGCGAAATTCAATGGCTTCATCCCGTCCGAATGCAACCACTGAGACTTGCTGTAGATTATCTAGTTCCGAAGAATGGCTTATTATCCCTTGGTCTTAGGTCTCAGCTTTGCCCTGATGAATAATCAATTTTTAATGACCTCCACTAATCTTTGTTCTTCTGCTCTGGAAGTGTGATTAGTGTTGGTGCACGAATAATAGTAGTAGGTGTAAATAAGAACGATATGAAAAGAGGCTCTTGCACATCCGTTCGGATGCACTAGGTATCTACTTATTTTTGACAATATTGTACTACGACGTAATAATAGCTTTTATGCAAAAAGAAAGATCGATAAAAAAATATAAAAATATATTCTATGAACTGACTTAAAAATTAATCTACAGAATGGGTAAAAGCTTTTGTCTACTGTTAGCCACTTCAATAGAATATATTTTTAAAAAATGTGAAATTTAATAGTGTTGGTGACATTTAACTGACTATGAATCACTATCAGTTCGCTTTTGCTAACGCTATTTCTATATGTTTTTCAGGTTATCCATACGATGCGGCTCAACAAGGCGCATATCAGCAATATGTGAACAGCCAAGTAAGTCCCGTAAAACGTGAAATGTATTGAATCCCTGACCAACTTATAGTTCAATCTCTAATCTGCATAAAGCCGCATATCAGTGTCATGTTTGCTTGATTGCCTATTCATATGCGATTATGCTTAGTAAAGTTCGAAACAATTCCGGATATGGTTACTTAGGTACCCTGTCCTTACGGTTCTGCTTGGCTTTATTAGGGATACTGGGACTCGACGTCGGCTCTCAACTGTTTTCTTTGAGCACTTCTACAGTTCTACCACTCGAACTTTGCCGTGGATCAATATTTTGATATATTTTCTTCTAGAATTTCGAGAAAATAGGGCCTTTTTTAACAATCTGGAATTTATTCATTTTTTCCCTTGCCTGGGATCTTTTCAAACATTTGCTGAGATTTCGAAAAAAAAAATCTTATCAGAATATATCTGAATATGTTTTAATATTTTAATTTTCTTGACTTAGACTTTAAAACAAAAGTATCCGTAAAACAAACATTGCGCAGTGCAAAAAGTCCTATATTTTATATGTATTAGTTTTTTTTTTAAATACTGTTTTCTTGCCCCTTGATCCCAATATCCTAGCTTATCGTCCAAACATCGAAAAAAATCATATCACAAAATCTTGAGTTCTTTTCTAAGACCATTAAATTATAGTATATTTTTTCCAAACTTGAAGTCCGGAATAAAAAAAAATACCCATGGACAAATTTAAAAAAAACCAAGCCCAAGATCATAAATTTTTTTCTATGTTTCAAAAGCTTGTGAATTTAGAACTTTGAACTTAAAATTCAAAATTTAATGAAAAGAAATTGTCGAGTTTCACTTGAACCTCGAGCATTCTTCGCGGACGGTTTCAAAATGCTGAGAATTTCAGTGAAGCTCCATAAACAAACTTCGGGAACATAAGGGAAGTTACTACGCTGAAAATATGGGGAACTTACTGGAAGCATTGAGAACCTCAAAGCGGTTCTTTTAGCATCCGAAAAATTTCGGGAACTTTTATGAAGTTCCTAGAATTTCAGAGATCTTCACAGGTGTCAAGCGAACTTGAGAAATATGAGGGGTATTGTACACATTTTTAAGAAGTTCTAAGTACCTCAGAAAAGCTAGATCTAGAGATTTTTGGGGAATTTCAGATCCTAAAAGCAGTTTCCGTAGCTTTAGTCCAGACTTTTGGAGCAGTTTCAAGATCTATCTAATTGTAAATTTAGAAAAATTAAGGATAGTTCCATGATGTGCTGGAAAAAAAATCGAGAATTATTCTTAAGATGTTCCGAGAATTTCAGGGAAGTACAGAGTCCTTCAGAGAATTTATAGAAACTAAGGAAATATTCACAGAAGCACAGAAACTTCACAGAAGTCCAGAGAATTTCAGGGAAATTTAAATATTTTTACGGGAATTCCATTTATTTCCGAGCAGCAGAACCGAGATCTTCAATAGAATTGAAAGCTTTAGGGAAGCTTCGAGAACATCAAGACAGATTAGAGAATCAAAGAGCGGTTCAAACAATTTCAAAGAAATTGTAGAAACCTTGAAGAAGTTCCGAGAAACTCAGGAAATTTCCGGAAACTTCAGCAAAGCTCCGAGAGAATTTCTAGTACGTGATAAAAATTATATGAACATCCGGAAAACGTGGGAGTATTTTAAGCGTGTTATATCATGGATATTTCAAGAGCTTAAAAAATGCGAAAATTTAGCTAATTGATTCGAGAAAATGTACAAAGTTCCATTAATAAAAAAAAATGCGAAAAATTTTAGCAAGCAGTGATATCTTCAAGAAATTCCAGAGAACTTCTAATAAATTTAGATACTTTTAGATAGTTTCATAATAATCCCATTAACTTAAGCAAATTTGTGGAGTTCCGTGGAAGGGTGGGGTATTCCATGAATTCTATGATTGATCCGAAAACGTTAGAAATGTCAGGGAATTATGAATATATATATATATCAAAAAATTTACCGGATTATTAAACAAATTAAGAGAACTTCACTGCCCATAATCGCAAGTCAGTCCCATCTGTAAAAATTTGGAAATTAGAAAACGGCGTTCAAAGATTTTTCATGTTTTCTGATTTGACACTTATTCTGGAGGGATAAATTTAAAAATAAACGTACAATGTGATAGAATGCATCTATGTTTACCCAAAAATATTGGAAAAATATAGTGAAATTTTTATTTTATGGTCAAAATCTGACTGACTGAGTGGGACTGACTTGCGATTACATTTAACGTCAATGAGAAAAATAACCGCAAGTCAGTCACAATTCCATGACAATGTTGCATTAGTTTAGCACAGTATTGAACAGTAGAAAGATACCACGGTCCTATAGAACGTTATTGAATGTTTCTGGATTTGTTCCGCTGGTTCCAGAGCAATGGCCGGAACATATTCCGGTGAGTATGGGTCTTCATCAGACCAGAGCTTATCATAAACGTGCCAAACCCACCATGAGATAAATTAATTCACATGCGAATTCAAAAATAAGATCAATAAGAGTCATGATGAGTGACCAGCACCATGTTGGTCACACCCGGACATGTTCCGGGTATCCCCGGGGAAGTGGTACGTCCTTTTTAAATCAAAATCCATCAAGCGATACATAAAATCACATGATAATTCAAAGATATATCCATTGGCGGTCAAACTGAGTATCGTAAGAACTATATTGGCCACATCCGGACATGTTCTAGATACCTTAGTAGGGAATGTGGACAAAATCTGTCTTGAGACAAATCTCATGATGCGATGTATTGTCTAACAATTTGAATTCTATATAAGCAATCCTAAAAACATTTGTGACGTTGGCTTATAGTTTATTTAATGAAATCCTATTTTTTCTAATGGGACTGCCTTACGGTTACTTTTCGCTGTGGGACAATTTGACTTGGTATTGTTTTTCATTTTTCCTGAACAAACCACCTTTTTTCAACAGCACATCTCAAAAAACATAGAAAGATAAACTGAATAATGATGCTAACTCAAAATTAAAAAAAAATGCAGATGGGACTGACTTGCGATTACCGGCAGTTCAGGTAACCACTGATAATTTCAGGGAAAATTAGTGAGCGTTTATAATGGTTATAATACTTAAGGGAAATTGTCGAAACTTCAAGGCAAATAGTTTGATTTTAGTAAAGTTGCGGGTTATTAAAAAATACTGTTCAATTCAGGACTGCCTAGAGAAATTTAAGGAAATTCAATAATCGTTTAAGCAGTTTCAATACCACCAGGTCCTAGTCTAGAAGTCTAGACTATTAAAGAAGTTTTAAATAAGTGTCGATAATTTAAGGAAAGTTTCCTTAAGAACCTTCAGAAATTCAGTGAAAATCATAGAACTATATTAATTATTTCGTTTTAATTCCATGAAAATTGTGAGAGTACAAAGGTTCCAGAAATTTAGAAAAAACTTCGAAAACTGCACAAAAGGACAGTGGTTTTCACAAACATTTCGAGAACTTTATAGAAATCTATGGAGCTTAAGGAGTGATCCGCGAACTTCAGGAATTTTTATGAAGATTAGCAAAATGCGGGAGTATTTGAAAGAAGTTTAATAAGCTTCAAAAATTTAAGAGCCACATGTGAAAAGGGCATACAAGCTTTTTGTAAACAATAATTTGCAGGCCCTTTTCTCGCCAACCGAGGGTCGCCCACGCAAACCAACAATATCATCGGAAAGGGGAATACTTCTCCGACCCGCTAATGTTGATGGTTTGCGTTGGTGTCATATGGGTGGCGAGAAAAGGGTATAAGAAGGCTTGTTTACAAAAAGCTTGTATGCCCTTTTCACATGTTGTTCTTGAATTGGGGAAGCCAGTTCCATTAGTTTCAGAAGATTAGTAGTAAGTTTAAAGAAGTTACCAGATTTTCCAATAACTTCAGAGACGTTTAAAAGTTAATTGAGGTCTTCGCATACGTTCAGAAGTTCACTGAAGCTTAAACATTTTTAGGGTGGTTCAATTAAATTCAGCGCAGGTTCATGAGAACTGCAAAAACTTTAGAGAAGTTTTGAGAATTTCAGAAAAGAACAAAAAACCTCAGAGCAGTTTCGTTAACATAAGAGAAGTCACATAAATTTCAAAGACATTTAGAGAACTTCAGCGAACTGTTATACGTTTAGAGGAGATCCATGAGAAAACTTCAGGAAGTCCTATAAAGTTCAGGGAAGTTTAAGAATTTGATGAAAAGTATTGTGAGCATCCGGCTAGTTTCTCAAACTACAAAAGAACTTTAAGGCAGTTCCATTAACTTCAGGAACAGTTGGGGAACTTTCAAGTAGTTCTGAAGACCTCAGAATAGCCCATTCTGATTATCATTCAAATATTCCTCAACATTTCAATAAAGCTATCCTTCGAATTCAATTTTCTTTAAGTTTCCCTCGGAATTACCTTGAAATTCTCCACAATAAGAAACCCTTAAAAAAATTCTCCTAATATTCATTGAATTCATTTCAGATTTGCTTTTGAATCTCACTCCTTCCTACTCACATTGAAAGTCTCCTAAGAATTAATTGACATTTCTTCTAACAAATTCCTTAGATTTCTTCTCATAATTTGTTTGGCGAACCCTCTTGAATTTATATTCCGAATTCCTTTGAAGGTGTTCTGGAGTTATTCTCAGATTTATTTGTAATCCTCCTTTTAATATTTTCAAAAAGATTCCAAGGGGATTCGTTTTCTCCCACAAACACAAACTTATCCTCAGCAGGCCCTTGAAATTTTGCTCTGAAGGAGTTGTGCTCCTTGAAAATTTTCAGATTTTTCATTAAAATTTGCTTTTAATTCAATTCAGGGTTTAATGAAATTCTACTCAAAACTATCAGGCTTCACAAGAAATCTAAAATTCCTCAGAACTACCTTAAAAGCAGATTGCATTTGATGTTTTTCTGAAAGATTTTTTCCCAGAACTTCCTTGAAATGAGGTTCTTAAAAAGTATAATAAAATTCCACGAGCTTTTTAAACTGTACATGGATTTGACTTCAGATTCTTGAAAATTTCTTGAA